CCACTTCTCCCGCCTCCCAGGCTTGCAGCGCCAATCAGCTGTTTGGCGCCGCAAGCCTGGGAGGGGAGGAGAATTAGAGCGGGGGCGGCGTGCTCGGGGAGGAGGCGGAGCAGAGGTGAACTGGGGCGGGGAGCTGCCGCACGGCTCCCCGGGGGGGGGGCCCTCAGGGCGGAGGGGGGGGCGGGGAGCTGCCGCAGGGCTGGGGGGGGCAAGGTGGAAGTTTCGCCTATGGCGGGAAACTTCCTTGCACCGGCCCTGGGTAAGTGATAACTAGGGGTGTATAGTTGAAGGGGTTCTCTTTTTCCTGTAGTGAAGTTGGTAATCTTGGGCTATTTGGGTGGCCTGTTCCAACATAAATTGGTTCAATTACCTCACTTGCCTTGTCTCTTTAATATCCTGGCACCAACAATATACCGGTGGCAGGTATAGAGTATGCAACAGCCAGTGCACTGCTGAGGCCAGTATTACACATGGTTGAATGGAATGGAGAATAGGAAGCAGAGCAAGGTGCCTGACAAGATCTCCGCTGCATTCCACTTTGTATTGGCTTAGAGAGATTTTTGAGTCCCAAACCTTGGTGCAATGAGAAGATGTTGCCTTGTCTGACTAATTTACGTCTCTTCAAGGACCCGAAAGGACATTTTCCACATGCCTTAAACTTTGACTTGCCACTAAGCTCTGTATCATTCCAATGCCTGGTGTCTCTGGGTTCTGAGCGAGACTACATTAAATGGTGCCCCATCACCAGTACAGATGCAGAAGAGTTTGCCTCACATACCACTTGCTTCAAGTACCTCCCTAACTCAAAGCCTCGGACTTAATCTCATACTACCTCATAACTGGCAACTGAGAAAGAGCTCTCAGGAGCTGTACAAAGGTGGCAACAGCCTGGCAGATCAGTGTTCCTGGGGAAAGGGAGAAGGCACTGATCCAGGCTCTCTGGAGTCACAGGAGCAGCCTTACCTTCTTCAGCTTGCCACTCTTGGTCCCCACGAACACCACGCTGTAGCCGTTGTAGACGTACGAAGCGACCGAGGTCATCCGGTCACGGCTGGCGGTGAAGAGGGTCACCCCCTCCACGGGTGTGGAGCCTCCCAGGGGCTGGTTAATGTCCAGCCCGCAAAAGTTGTCATCTATCGGGACTGGCTGGAAAAGAGAAGGCATTGGGCAAGGGTGAGCTCGAGGTGAAGGTGAAGTGCTCATCCAAGCACCCAGGCTCATGCAGAACTGAACGCACAGTTGTAACCATGGGGTGAACGCACCGAACTTCCCCACACAGTAACTGGGTGTTCACAACAACCCCCTGCTCACGTACAGCTGGTTCATCTCCCTAGGAGCTAGGGTCACAGCCACTCTCCCCAGCATGACCCAATGAACATCTCTCCTTATTTTGGTAATCTAGGCCAAGCAGCTGTGTGGCTGGCATGGGTACAGGCCACGGTGGGTGCACCACACGCTAGCTGCCAGGAAAGCCTTCATGGACAGGACTGATGAGAATCCCCACCATGTCATTAACAGAAAACCATAGGGGAAAATGGTTTCATTAGCTCTCTTGATTCTCTCCCCTCTCAGATCCAAACCCTCTCCCCCCTATTCTGTCCTGGTGCATTCATGTCCCAAGCTGACGCGGTGTCTCTCTCCTCCACTGACTTTACCTCCCTCTAAATAGTCTTGGTCGGATTTCTGGAGGTCCTGATCGCCTGCAGCTCCCAGTCAAGAAACGGGAGCTGCCAGGTGCTTAGCATCTCTGAAAAAAAATCAGACCAGCTGCCTTTTCAAGGGCCTACGTCAGGGGAGGAAGATTGACTAGAGTCTTGCACTGAAGATCATTCAAAGCTTCTTCTGCATTAACCAGAGAGGTCACAGCACATCAGCACAAGCCATTTCTTCCTCCCCATCTCAAACCCCAAGAAGATCTGAGCGGGCAGTTTCCACAGCATGGCTGACCTAGGGAGCCAAGGACAAGGACAGAAAACTGACCCAGCCTCACTCACACGGCCATACAGGGAACATGTCCCTAATCCACCTCGCTGGCCCCAGGATGTGCTCCAGCAGCCTTGCTCACACTGCACTGGACTGTCAAATCCATTCATAAAAGGAATCTGTTGTTCTCTCCTCCCCCCATCCCACTTCCCGAAATGACCCAGTGTCACGCAGACGGGTCAGCAGAGAGTCACATGGCTGGGGCCAGCGATTGCCTTCCACTGGCAATGAGCCTGCAATGGGCCAGCCACAGGAAGTGCAGGTGTTTGCTCTCTACCTCTGCCCTCTGAGCATAGAAAGGAAGCTGCCATTTCCTCTCAGCTACTCATTTCTTTAGGGAAGCAGCCACCTCCCTCCTGTGCAAACAGCCTGACTTCATGACAGATTTAACACTCCGGATCTCCTCGTTACATTCCCCGAGTGAATAGGATGCTGGTGCAAGGTGCCAGCCAGACTGGCTGTTCTTAAGAGGGACAGTATTTATCAATGCCCCCCCCATGGAATGGACCCTAGCAATGCAGAGTTTCCATACTCCTGGCCAACCCTGTCCCATCCTTTGAATGCCCCAATCTGATCTAAAGGGCTGTTTAGTACCTATGTTCTGCTTTCAATACAGCATGGTCTAGCACAATGTTTTCAACCTTTTTTCATTTGAGGACCCCTACAAAATTTTGAATGGAGATCTCTCCTTTGGAAAATCTTAGACATAATCTGTGGACGTCCAGGGGCCCACGGACCAGAGGTTGAAAACCACTGTTCTACGGTAATGACAACGTTTCGTGGACCCCTTAGACATAGTTTTCAGATCCCCAGGTTGAAAACAGGTCTAGCAGATAGAGAACTGGACTGGGAGTCAAGAGCCCTAGCCTTTATTCCCAGCTCTGCCACTGACTTGTGGAGTCCCCTCACTCTGCCTCAGTTTCCCCTCTGTAAAATGGGGATAAGGATGCTTATAAAACACTCTGAGACCAATGAAATGAAAGACTCTGTATTATTGCTAATTGATCACTTTGCTGAGCCTGCCCAAAATGGAATTAATGCTAATTAGTGCCGTTCGTGATGTGGACATCTACCAACTAGGATTGGGATTGCAATTCATCAACTCATCTCCCAGAGGAGCCACTGAATAGCTACCAAATGCCTTTGAGTCACTATTGGCTGCATTAATTTCAGCAGGCTAGATCTGAAAAGCTCAGTGTCTCGTGGCCATCCTCCGCTCTATCCACTCACCTGTTGCCCCAAAATTCCCTCTCTGTCCTCATTTAGCTCACATTTTTTCTTGGTACCAGAGAGTTGGAAGCCAAACTGAATATGTTATGGTGAAAGGAGTTTCCAGGGATTGAGATGGCTCAAAAGGAATCTGTATGGTATGTAAATCAAGATCTGAACTAGCAAAGTAACAGCACAGAGTGTGCAACTTCCATCTGCATTCACCTGGTTAGTTTTGTTTGCACTATACTCTCCTGCTGCAGGCTGGGAGAGAGAGGCTTTGGGTTAGTCTGATTTTGGAATCAGAATGGGCA